GAGAGGACCCCCTAAATCTTACCCCAAATAGCATGCTGGGAACCCTAAATAATTTATATATGATACAGTTCTTTTTCCTTACAACTTCCCTATGTAGTAGATATCATGGTCTCCACTTCAGGGATGATAAAAATGAGACTCAGAGATGGCACATGAACTTCTCCAAGTCCCACTTCAGCTACATAGTGGAGTCAAAAGTTTAGCTAAGGTCATCTGGCTCCAAACTGATGCTTTTAACCACTGCCCGACAAAAACACCAAACTTCTGCCATAGTCCAGAGGGTGGTATGTTACCATTGTGGCCCTAAAAATATGCTTGAAAAATGAATGAGTGGGTGAATACTAAAGACTAGCAGAAATCACTTAGAAGATCAAAATCAAGGTTTTCACAGAACCACATACAGAGTTCAGGTCTATCTCAAACTTTTGGCTTCAGAACCACAGGTAGATACACCACAGAGGTAACCTAGCCTCTAATTCAGAAGGGACCTCCAGAATGAGAGCTAAAGCACATTTGTAGAAAATAGAGATTTAATGGATTAATTCAATTTTTTCTACAAGGACATGTTTAAGACAGGATTATTCTTTCACTTTCTGGAGAAGGGACAAATGAGAAGTGATAATGAGTCTGAACAAGTCGCAGCTCACGAGACAAACGTCGCGAAAGGGAACAAGCCCATCAGAAATGTTACCCAGGTGGCAGTTTGGCGGAGACGCCAGTTCACCAGATCCTTTCAAAACTAATAGCAGTTCTATAAATTTCACCCTCGTAGATGAGGGGTTCACCCAGGGCATTTATTTCTTCATATTTATTTGTATTAATGAAAATCAAAAATCGTATCTGAGCAACTTAACTGGATTGAATTGAATAGTCAAATTAAATATTTTCATTAAAAATGATAAAATCATCCTGATATTTAGTTGGAAAGTCAGGGATATATATTATACATATTCTTAGGAAATATAAAAAGGAAATAATCTTAGGTTTGGGGCCAAATAGTTTAATTAAAGAAAAAATAAGGTCATAAATAACTTTATCAAAAACTAGAAAAACAAACCAGGGCAATTGTCAAACCAACATGAATGAATTACCCTCGACTATCTGGGAAATCCCTTCTGTCTCATCTGTCTTCCACTGTAGTTCTTACATCAGTCATATGAAGGAAGCCGTTATCTTCATTTTCCACATGTAACATGGACAGAAATAACAATTGAAGGCACGTCGTCCAACTTGGTGCCCTGCAGTGACTTCATTACAACGTACCACTTTTTAACAACTAGAATTTTCTAAAAGAAGGCGTTATTAATGATCAAAGAAATAATGTGGAATAGCTTTATTTTGTGATCTTACATAAAACAGCTCAACGATAGACAAAAGATCTAATATAACTTAAACCCTAATCTGTATTTAGCACCATGCCAACTGTGTAGGTCATTACGAAAGTTTTGAGAACCATAAAGTCCTCACTGACCGAAACAAATGAAGCCCTCCCAGAAACACCAACAAGCCGAGCCAGTAGAAACCCGAACGGGCGAATCAGAAAGGACATTGTCCACTGTTTCTTGGAAGGGAAATAAGTGCTATCTTAAAACTTTCATGAGTCCCAGTTCCATGGTAAACATGAGAAACTGCTTCTCATTAGTGGAAGGGCTGTGCAACTCTGCGTAGTGAGTTTCACTCTGGATGTGTCTATCTTGTACAATTTCAGTGGGCGTGTGACCAGGGAAATGATGCTGCCGTGTGCTCACAGGCGACCCTTGCTGCTGCGCGGCCGCCCTCTCCCACTGTACAGGCCCTGTCTTTGCCAAATTCACTCCTGGAGATTTATCTTCTCTTACATGAAGAGATGAGAAGGGGAGAGCCAGTGTGTGTGAGCGGCCTTTGGAGTTTGGTGGATGCGATCTTTAGGAATAAGGTAGAGAAAATAATGCAGGCTACAGCTATTGAGTATGAGAGCGGAAGGATCACGAGGAAGGAATCCGTAAAATATAGTTGTGGATTATAAATTGCATCTTCTTGTTTCCTGAAAATTACAGGTAAACAATTACTTTGAATTTTCTTTCAGCTGTCAAAATTCTGTTTCTTTAGCCACATTACCGTTCAAACAGGACCTACGTTTGGATTATGAATTACACAATGCCTTCTATGCCTTTTATTTAAAACCGGCCTCGGAAGGCTTATTTTTCTAAGTTTTCTTTGAGGTTGTTCTGAAAGTTTTTCGTTTAAAAATCCACAGTCCATCTCTGTTCACCACTTCCGCTCACCTAATTCTATGGCTAAAGTTATGTAATATTCAGATTTGGCTTGAGAAATTCCAGAAACTACTTTCGAAAAAAATGATCAGTGTAAGAAAGGATAAATGAAGAAGGATCAGAGTCAAATAGCTAAAACGTAGCAATCAGGATAGAGTCAGAATATACACAATTATTAACTCTTTAGTATAGAAAGCCCTGAGAAACAAATTTGTTGCTTTAGAACTTGACAGGCAGCAGTAAAAATATTTTTCAAGTCAGTCTTTTTTCTGAATAATTGACCTGATTGCTCAACCAGGATTTGCTATCAGAATGTAGAGAATAGTACCAGCGCAGGGATGCCCTTGAAATTAATGATTTTTTTCCCTGCACATGAATATCTTTACTTGCCAGAACATTTGAATGCTTCCTTATTTAAAAAATCAAATCCAATCAAGAAGCTAAGAAATAAAATTTCTATAGTTCCATTTTCTTAATTGATGAAGAGTTTCAAATTAATTTCAAAAGATCAACCCTTTATTGGCAAGGAATTTGTTTAGATATCACAGTCATAATCAGACTGGCTTTATTACAGAAAGTAGACTTTTGGTAACCTATCCAAAGATTTTATTTTAGTGCAAATGGTAAAAATAACAGAGGTATTAAAAGAAAGATGAATTGTGATTGATAGAGGAGAAAATTCAATTACTTGGCAAGTATATTTGGGGGAACTTGAATTGGAAATGATAATATATTAGTGACTGAAATGGACATATTGGTGTTTTAGAGCCATGCTTCGCTGGAATCCTTTATGCTTTGTTTTTAAGTGATATGAGATCTTTGTCTTGGGACCTAGAAGCAGACAGCTTAATGTTATGTGCTTGTTTGAGTCGACTCTGTAGTGTGATGGTGGTTTAATCAGTCTGCCTATAAAACCCTTTATATGAAATGGAGCAGGTCATTAATTAATATGTTCATAGTCTTGTTCACATCCAGACACTGAGAGCTGAGAAAACCTCTGTCTGCCTTTCCCTTTGCTATTCTTCCAAATGGAGGGTAATAAAAGCGAGGGGTGTTTTCCAGCTGCCGGTGACCTGCACAGCTGCTGTAAGGTCATACACTACATCTGAAAGGGATGGGCATGCAGTCAAATCAGGACTGTTCTGGCTGTATTGTGCGGGGTACCTTCTCTCCTGACCAGGGAAGTGATGAAAATAAGAGTCCCTGTGTTGGCTAGTACCAAGATGGTGAATAATACTCTTCCCAGCTCAGGGTGCTTCAATAATTCTTTTTATTTTTTTAGATTAATTTTTTTTAAATAAAAAATAGAAATAGGGCAGCGCCTGTGGCTCAAGGAGTAGGGTGCTGGTCCCATATACCGAGGGTGATGGGTTCAAGCCCAGCCCCGGCCAAAACTGCAAAAAAAAAAAAAAAAAAAGAATAGAAATATATGTGTCTACCCAGAGAAAACAATTTAGCCAGCACAACCAGGCATAAAGTAAGAGGTTTTAGTACATCATTCTTCATGTCACCATCCAACCCTATGCCAGACATCCTCTGACACAATGATTTTTCTATTCCAATCCTATATTGAAAGACATCCAACCCTTTTTGTTATTATTGTGTTTATTCACCTGCTCTGACAGGTTTCCTCATGGAGTACAGACTCTAGCCAACAGCGCAGGTCGTACTCTTTCTGTTTCTCGGCAGGCCATGTGTTTTGATGTGAACAGGTGATCATCCATTGTATTCACCCAGTTGTACTTGTAGGAAAATGGCCTGCTCAAAATAAGTAAGAGCTTAGGAGTATGTAGGTGGTACTTCTAGTTACCACCCACTGTAATGACTGCAAAGCTTTTGAGTATATTTTTCTCTACCCAGTGCCCACCAGCTCCCACCCTATCCAATTTTTATATACATTGTGCACCTTGCTTATTTTCATGGAAAGGTTTTAAGAATCCTTTAATATCCACAGCTACTCTTCTATTTTTTTTTTAAAGTAGAGTCTCACTCTGTCACCCTGGGTAGAGTGCAGTGACTTCACAGCTCACAATAACCTCAAACTCTTAGGCTTAAGTGATCTTCGTGCCTCAGCCTCCCAAGTAGCTGAGACTATAGGTGCCCTCCACAGTGCCCAGTTAATTTTTCTATTTTTAGTAGAGAGGAGGTCTGGTTCTTGCTAGGCTAGTCTTAAACTCTTAAGCTCAAGCAACCCACCCACCTCAGCCTTCCAGAGTGCTAGGATGACAGGTATGAGCCACCATGCCTGGCTCATCTAATTTTTTTAAAGATTGCTTATACATGTCATTGTGTGTGTGTGTGTGTATATATATGCCATTGTATATAAAGATTGCATATGTATGTGTATATATATCATTATATGGACCCCTTACATTGATACCAGCAGTACCCTAATGTTGGATATTTTTAATTTCCCCTTGTTCTATTACAAATAAAAATCTAATGAATATCCCCCAAAACATATCTTTTACAAGTACATCATAGGGTAAATTTCTAGCAGTAGAATTGCTGGGACAAATACAAATCTATTTAAATTCTAAAAAAATTATTAAATTTCTCTTTTAAAAAAGGCTTCAATTTATACTTCTACCAGCACTCTTTATCAGACGCTTACCTTTCCCCAATCTGATAGATGGCAAATAATATCTCACTGTTCCTTTGCTTTACGGTTCTTTAACACTGATGTTTTAATGCGATAATTCTTTCTATTTATTATATTGTCAACTACCTATTTTGCCCATTATCTCTAAATATATGGAATATTTTACACATTTGCCTGTCATTTTTGCACATGGACATTGCCAATCCTCTCTGCATGATTCTAATTTCAATATGTATGTTGTTTGGGGGAAGCTCCTCTGATTTCTGCAACTGTGACCTTTTTTTTTTTTTTTTTTTTTTTTTTTTAAGGAGAAGGAGGAAGAGAAAAAAGGGTTAAGGGTCTGGGAGGAATTAGGAGTGGCACTGCCACCTAATACCCTCTGCTAACCGCTGATTTGACAAGCAGTCCATAGTACACAGTGGTCAGCATCATTGCTGCTGTGAGTCTGGGTGCCTTAGAATCCCAACGTTGCCATTTATTAACCAGACAACCTTAAGAAATTTGCTTAAATTTTCTAAACCTCAATTTCCTCATTTGGAAATTGGAGATGATGATAGCATAGAAGTGTTCTTGTTTATAGTAAGTGAAATCTACTGAAATTGACCAACCCAACCCTGAGTGTCGCACACAGTGCCCTCACTCAGTCACTGTCACTATTACTGTTACTAAAACTGGCAGGTCCTGTCCAGGGGGGACCAGAGCACCTTGTATTTCTTGATCTCAATGCCCCTTGTTAGTTACGGACTCTGTCTCTTATTTACATTTTCCATTTCTGTGGAGGAACAAATATTTTAGCATACTAAACAATTAAAGACGTGTTCAAGAAATGGCGTGTTTTATCCAGTAAAGGGAGATAAATAATAATGGGGAAAGCATATTCTGTTTATATGTTTATGTATTTTTTTTCAATTTACTTGGCACTAATAAATGATATAAGGAAAATAAGACAGATGAATTCCGTTTCAATCTTAAGGTACATTTGCAATTTGATGCCTACCTAAGTAAGATTTCTAAACATATATATATATTAGGACAGAATCTCTCTCTGTTGCCCAGGCTACAGTGCCATGGCATCAGCCTAGCTCACAGCAACCTCAGACTTCTGGGTTCAAGTGATCCTCCTGGCTCAGCCTCTGCAGTAGCTGAGACTACAGGCACCCACTATGATGCCTCCTCTCACCAACTAATTTTTCTATTTTTCGTAGAGATGGAGTCTCCCTCTTGCTCAGGCTGGTCCTACCTAAGGGATCCTCCTCCCTCCCCCAGCCTCCCAGAGTGCTAGGATTACAGGCATGAGCCACTGTGCCTGCCTAGCCTTACATTCTTACATCAGCAGATGTGGTCTTTATTTCCTTTCCCCTTGATGACTTCAGAACTATTCCTCTTTACACTGTTACACTACACTGTAAACTGTTTAATTTCTACTATCATATAAACTAACCTAAAGTTTAAAGGATACTAAGAACTGGCAAAAAGAAGCTAGGAGATTTAAACCTATAACATTAAGTTATCTCTAGCAAATTGTATTTTTGAATATTAAAGAAAGTATATCAAAGTCTTTGTCAAGAAAAACCTGTGTAAAGTCTATGTGATGCAATTTGCATAAATATTGTTTTCCCTGTGAAGAAACTGGCAGTTTTGTCAGACATGTGCTAAAAGTTGTTTTTGCATTCCTTTGATTTTTGTTTCTGTTTAGATAAATATTAATAAGTGGTATTTGCTGAAGTTGGGAGATTCTGTTCACATGTAATAATCATATCTGAGATTTATAGAAAAGCTAATCCAGTGATTTATTTTGGTAATAAAATTTTATAGATAAGTGAACTTAATGGGAGTGATGTCACGAGGGCATCATTCAAATGTAAAAAGATGGATTTTTTTGGAGGTTTCCTCTCTATAGAAAGCCCTCAACTTAAGTCAGATAAAGATCAGATACCAAGAAGAAATATCATGGTTGACAATTTGAAAATGTCCAAGGGTCATAAAAACACATAGCTAATATTATTATTAGAGATATACTTAGTGATAGAAGCCAGTAAATTAAATAAATAAATTCTTTTTTGCTCTTTACTAATTTCCTATCAAAATTACTTGAAATGACACACCATCTCTAAGCTAAGAGATAATTAAAATTGTTTTATCGTTTTGTTTGTTTGTTTTCTATTCACAGAAAATGATGACCAGCTCAAGGGCTTAAAAGCCAGGTTAGAAAATGCTGATGTAAGAAATGAAGATCTCCTGAGAGCTTTGAATGACACCTTGGGAAAGTTATCAGCCATTCCAAATGGTAAGCATTCAGGCTGCCGCACACTGTGTCAGCTGACCTGAGCCTTTGAAAAATGCTGTTAACTTTTACAACTTTTTTTTTTAATTTCAAAATATTAAGGGGCACAGATGTTTTTCTTTCACGGATAGCCTTTATGATGCTTAAGTGAGGGCTATCAGTGTGCCCAACACCCAAATAATGTCCATTGTACCTGTTAGGTTGGTAGTTATGCCCCATCTCCCCCTACCATGATTTCCAAGGACTTTTACTTCTCTCTGTGCCCATTGATTTGTTCCGAATCTTAGAGAGTATATGTGGTAATTGTTTTTCTATTCCTGAATTGCCTTACTTAGGGTCTTCAATGCCATCCAAATTGCTACAAAAGACATGAATTCATTTCTTTTTATGGCTGAGTAATACTCCATGGAGAGAGAGAGAGAGAGAGAGAGAGGGAGAGAAAGAGGGAGAGAAAGAGTCCACTCTTAAATTGATGGCACTTAGGTTGATTCCACATTTCTGCAGTTGTGAACTGTGCTACAAGAAACATTTGAGTGCAAGTATCTTTTTGATAAAATGACTTTGTTTTCCTTTGGGTACATACCCAATAATGGGATTGCTAGGTCAAATGGTAGGTTGGTCTACTTTCATTCCTTTAGAACTCTCCATACTGTTGTTATAGAAGTGTGCTAATCTGAAGTTCCACAACAGTGTATAAGCATTTCTTTCTCTCTACATCCATGCCAGCCTCTACTGCATTTTGATTTTTTAATAGTAGCCATTCCAATAGGGTTACAGTGATATCTCAGTGTGGTTTTAATTTGCATTTCCTTAATAATCAGTGATGGTTAGCATTTTTTCGTGTTTGTTGGCTTTTTATCTATCTCTTTGTGAAAAACTTTTATTAATGTGTTTTGTCCACTTTTTAATAGGATTGTTTGTTCTTTTCTTGCATATTTGTTTGAGTTCTTTGTGGATTCTGGTTATCAGTCCTTATCAGATATGTAGCTTGTGAATATTTTCTCCCATTTGGTAGGTTGTCTATTTGCTCCAGTGATTATCTCCTTCATTGTACAGCAGCTTTTTAATTTAATCATGTCATGTTTATTTTTGTTGTTGTTATAATTGCTTTTGGAGACCTACTCATAAATTCTTTGCCTAGGCTGATGTATTATGTTGAATAGAAGTGATAGCAGTGACCACCTTTATCTTCTTCTAGTTCTAGGGGGAATACTTTCATATTTTCCCCATTGTGTAATATGTTGGCTATGAATTTATCATATATGGCCAGGTTGATGACTACATGCCTTGGAGATGTCCTATTTGCTACAAATCTTCCTGGTGTTTGATGACTATCTTGCACATCTTTATAGCTGGCATCCATAGGAATATATTATAAAACAAATATATACACATCTCATGATTAAACCCTTCATCCCTGAGAATTGGCAGGTGATCATTTCCAGGACTCACTACAGATACCAAAATCATTGGATGCTCATATCTTTGATATAAAATGGCATGATACAATCTTCATCCATCCTCCCATATACTTTAAATTATTCCTAGATTATTTATAATCCTAATATAATGTAAATGCTATGTAAATAGTTGTTATACTACATCATTTAGATAATAATGACAAGAAACAGTGTTCATGCGTATTCAGTACAAATTCAACCATCCTTTTTTCCCCAAATACCTGAATCCACATATGTGGAACTCATGGATATGGAAAGCTGAGTGCATTGATTTCTGAATTCAGCCCAAGAAGTCTTGTATCAGTGGGAAAGAATAAACTCATATAGACACTATTCTCTAAAACGCTGAAGATGTACTGCCCCAAAGTCACAGTTTCTTATATACCCGCCGTAATAGATGAAAGCCAATGGCCGTTCTCTGTCCTCAAAGTTCAGTTTCTTGCTATTTCAACCTTCAAAAACATAAGTGATCAAGCTGGATCTGTAATATCTTTCTACCTATTAAAACTACTTGTAATTATTGCTTGATGTCAGTTCCTGAAAGCACATATTATTTTAGAGATATTGTTTTCATAATTTTTATATTTTTAATAACAATAACAAAGATTACAAACACTTATTCAGTGATTACTGATGCTTACATTAAGTGTATATAACCCTCGTATTAATCTGACAAAGTTGGGAGTATTATTGTATCCATTTTACAGGTGATCAACTGAGACTCAGGGTACTGAAGACCATTATTAAAAGTGGCATGTATGAGATTGGAACCCCACAGTTTGACTTTAGAGTCTGTGGTCTTAATCATTATCTTACACACATACCATTAGACATTTATGGGGGAATATATGTTCTACATGCAAATTATGGTTAAGAGACAAATGTATACATTTATATAACACAGGAAATATAAAATTTGAATATTCATTAATTTTTGGATTTTTATGTTACCTCTAGGGTAATAAGTACACAGAAAATTCCCAGTGCTGTAAATATATATATATATATATATATATACACAAACACATGATCTAACATACCTAAAAAAGTTTCTCTATCCTCAAATGGTAAGGGATGCATTTTGCATCCCTACGGAAATGCAGATAAACTCTTAAACCTAGTTTTGATGATACATGAGTCAATTTCTCTCTTTAATATGTTCAGCAGCAGATCACAATACGCCCTGATACAATGAAAATTTAGAGTCATCACTTTGCTGAGGTAGGAGCTAATCAGGTATTCACAGCAAAAGTCCTTGAGAAAATTTAATTTAGCTAAAACATTTGCTTCATTTGCTACACAGTATGAGACAAAGTTCAGCCTTTTCCCTTGGTAGGGGTGTCCCTGAGGCCAGGCGGCCGCAGCTTCACGTGAAGGAGCAGGAGTAAGCCGCTGACTCCAGACCCTTTGTCTTGTTTCTCCTGCCCTCCCTTATTGACAGACACAGCTGCTAAACTTCAGGCCGTTAAGGACAAAGCCAGAGAAGCCAACGACACAGCTAAAGACGTGC